TTTCGGATAAATAAAATTTTTTCACAATTCAATGAAAACGAAAAAATATAAAATTAAAAATATTGTACAACTATAACTATGCTGTATCTTATTCTCATACTATTGAGATATCAATACAACAAATATATTCCACTCATCGTTTCTTAGTATTTAAACCAAACGTTCTTTTCGACTAATTTAAACAAACATCATGATGGCATGTTGCATAAATGTAGCATATCTTCCGACTACATATTAACTAACTGGCATGTAAATATTTTTAGATTTAATCATATTACGACTTCAGCAAATAGTATATGCTGTTTAGAATGTCATGTATATATACGTTTGTCTACGTACTTTATACATTAGATAGTTTTGATCACTGAGAGATAAAAAGCATGGTTGATTGTATAACGTTTGACATCATATCAGGTGTGAGACAAATATCACCGACTGCAATGTATGTTGTCCATGCAACAATGAAATTTAATCGAAGTTGTGGGTGCGAACCCCTGGATGTTATCCCCATGGTCTAAACTTCATGTGCTATCTGTCAAGATTGAAGTTACTAATCTTGATCTCTAATAAATCCGTAGATTTTAAACTGAAAAGAAATCATATACTAGGACAAAATATGTTGCAATATTTATTTTCAACGGTTGTTGGTCAGACTCAGTCCATGACATAAATTACCTTCAGATAAGAATCTTTTTTACTTTGAATGGGTAACTTTTATCAAAGTGGGCATGTAATACAATAAACTAAATAAGTATATGATATTGAACTATCAGTTCTGCAAATGAAAAGTACTCCATAATATGTGAAGGTTAGGATTTGTAAAGAACTAAACTTTCGCATTTACACTGTTCTAAATTATTCACATTCAAATAATGAAATAATTTAAAAGGTATGGTTTTGGAAGTGTTAAAATGACTTAAAACAATGTAAGATGTAAAAGAGAATTTGAAATCTAATCAGTCCTAAAAATGCATAGCAAATAAACTATTCCATACATTCGGAAACGATTCATACAAGTAAAATTATACATATACAAGTTACTTACTTACGCCTGTTACTCCAAATGGAGCATAAGCCGCCGACCAGCATTCTCCAGCCCACTCTGTCCTGGGCCTTCTTTTCTAGTTCCATCTAGTTCTTGTTCATTTTTCTCATGTCTATTTCCATTTCCCGGCGTAACGTGTTCTTTGGTCCTCCTCTTTTCCTTTGGCCTTGAGGATTCCATGTGAATATATACAAGTAATATATATATATATATATATATATATATATATATATATATATTTCACTTTACAAACAAAATAACAAAAAAGACCATTGCCAGTCTAATATTAGTTATATTTCAATTGCTCAAATTCAACTGTTTACATGTATTCATGGATTAGCAAATAATTACAAATAAAAGAATGAAGAAAAGTAAGATGACTGGAAAAAGAAACCACATACAAGTCATCAAACAAATCTATTTGTTTTTTAAACAATTTTCAAGAACTAATGGCGAGAAAAATGGAAATAAAGTCATAGCAATCTGAATTATGAGTCAGCAATACTGAATATTTCATTTTTCTTCCCTAAACACCATCAATGAAGCTCAAAAAGTGAACTAATAACTCTTATAGTAGCTTCAGTAGTTCTGAGTGCTAGTTTTGTTGTCGTTCGAAACATTCTAATCTGCACTAATTTTTGATCAACTACTGGCTGGTGGAATCGTGTCTAGAAACATGCCGATTCCGCCTTGAAAGATGCCCAAGTACACCACCCAGGCAAGAAAAATACGTAAAATCCCCTACTGAACTTAGAAAACACCCTATTAGCAAATACCGATCATTGACAGTTTGTGAAAACTCAATGCCCGTTGATCACTTGCAAATCACATATTTCAGATATGCTTTAGCACTTTCGCAAGAACGATAAAGTTCGGGAACAAATTGTCTAACAATCTAATCTAAGAATGAATAATAAATACGGCCACAGATTAGTAACTTCATGTGTTTATTTCTACTGCAAAACTAATGACTCGAAACTTATCAAATTTATGGGTAATTAAACACTTACCACGTATTATATAATTGGTATGGGGTATGATAGTTTCACTGCAACTAAGAACCAATCAATGTTAGGCCACCATTGAAAACCTGGAAGCACTGGATGGTCGCGCATGGTTGACGAGTCCCACACTAGAATGAGACGGTAGTCCAGTGCTTCAAGATTTTTAATGGTGGCTTAACACTGATCGTTTCATGATTTCAGTAGGACTCAATCTTGACAACCCTATACTGACATAGTAGTTCATGTGGATGTTTGCTTTTGCAGACCTTATGAAGATAGCATTTTATCACAAGCGAATAGCTAGTTCCTGATTTTGTCACAGCTAATTTAAACTGGTAAAAAACTACTAGTTTTATCATTATATTACATCTAACACGATTGGTAATCAACTCGCAAAATAATTGTTCGGCTTCAGAAGGTTGCGACAATACTACTGATGCATAACAGACATTGTTCAGGAAAGATGGGACGACAATATGCTATAATAGTTTACTTTCGTTAGCTATAACAGCTGGCAACTTCTACTGACAAACGAGACTGAAAGAATGCAACATCCTAGCCTGTTTTTCGTATCAGTTTTCCCGATGAATAGCTACACCTTTCCGAAACTTAAAAATAACCAATGATTAGTTTGAAGAGCCATGGTAACTACACGAGAAATTTCAGAAAAATGTTGCTTTTCATACATCATCTGGTAGCTGGTATAGAGAGTAATCTCATTATTATAGTTTGGTGAGTTGCTATACTCAAAGTAGAACCTGAAATATGTGGATCAGTTCAATTTCCCATACCATATTAGCAGTGAGATAAAATTATTCCAAGACTAGTCCCAGAGTAGAAGTAGTAAAGAAATTAAATGAACAAAATGGGGACACGCATAGGGAGACTTCGAGACTCATGAAAATTCAGTTTCCAAATATTCGTTGGGCTAATCACGCGGACCCCAGCCAGATCTATCAACACGATCCAGCTTAATTGTCAATGACTGCATGGATTGGTGTCACGTTTTCATATGGCTGTCTCAAGCTTTGGTGTAATTGCAGTAATAGCCAATTAATATATCGTACAAAAGTGAGATAGTAACAAATCCGACGTTAAAATCCACTTTAGGTCCTCAAATTATTTCTAGCTAGTACCAATCAGTATTTCTAGCAATCAGAATGTATTTTATCCACAATACCACTTGAGTAGTTTATCGTAACCAAGAAAGAGTTATATAACATAGTGTTCAATCATAACGTCCTATCAAAGAACATAAACTGCATTTCTAACTCAAAACGACTAGAAAAGGTTCATGATATAATGGATATCCATGAAAATTCTTTCGGAAGTATCGCACTGATAAAGGACAGAGAGCAAAATATAGCTGTGAGAACCGAATAGTCTTAAGGTAAGGCTTCGAACGTAATGTGCTGGATAAAAAAATTGCAGACAGATGAGAAATGGAATGAATACAAGACAACACACTACCGCTCGTTATTACTAACCGTAACACGGCTATTCTCAAGTGCATTACAGAGAAAATATATAGAAACGAAAAATGGGTACTCCAGACAGATTTTCAACTGTACATAAGGAGAATTATATCTTAGTAACCTAATAGCCTATCACCTTATGGATACAACGTCAAGACGATGCGTCATAGAACCAGAGCCAAAATTGTGCCGAGTGAACTTAAATGTTTACTATCCTATCTCCCTTAAAGTTTGAATTGGTGTTTGCTAAGGGGCATAAAAATCTTGGGTTAGGCCTCACGAACAAAGCAAACATTTATGAAATCATATGCATTTCATTCTTGCAGCTTATTTTTCAAATGTGTGACTGCAAACAAAATGCGTGATGAGACTTATTTTTGACTTTTTGTAAAAAAAACAATGGTAAGGACAATCAAAAACCAAATACAGATTTGTGTATTTGACTTTAATTTGGATGCGTCCGAGGGTTGGTAATGATGAGCAAATGCTCAAACCAAATTAGACGCCACGATTTGAGAACCAATTCATAAAAGAATGAAAAAAGTGAACTCAAGAAAAACTAAATATTATAGTAATTTTCAAATCAATTTTATTTGAAGCAGATGGAATTAAAAATCAAGAAAAGAAACAAAGCGGCCGAAATACAAAGAAACAATATTAAAGGTGTTTAAAATGGAATAAAAATGGTAGCTGAGGATAGATTCCAACATATATAATGATCAACAGAACAGAGAAATTGTACAAATGGTACAGAAAAAGGAGAGGCATTAGAAGATAGATGTGCACAAGTTACTTGAGAATATAGGAGTAAAACAACGCAGAGAGAACATTTTCCAACTATCAAATTGGAATATGGAAAGGAGAGGAAATCTGTTAGTCTTCCGTGCGCAGAAATGCGTGTCCAACAACATGGAAATGAAAGAGACACAACCCCATATGATATATATATATATATATATATATATATATATATATATATATATATATATATATATATATATATATATATATATATATATATATATATATATATATATATCACGATGGACGAGGTGAAACCGAATACAGTTGACAAAATTGAAGCATCACACTTAGTACTTAAACTGTATGGAAAAAACCAAAGCAAGGAAGTGATGTATTATCTAAAACAAACAATCTTTTTTAAATCTAAAGTAGTAAAGTAAACAAAAAGAAATTGACCAAACAGAACTACAGGCAAAGAGCAATAAAATGAAATGCTTTTTACGTATTATTTATGTGAATACACCTATGTCATAAGAAATTGCACTTGAAGAAAGGTCCTGATTTTCAGAGTCCCCGTTAGTGTTCAATCGTAATGAATGAATTAGATTTAGTTTTTGTAAACATAAAAGTCACGTTAGCAGCATATAACGGAGGACGCAGAAATAATCTTTCAGGTGTTCATCTAAAATTTCCAAAGTTTGAGAAAGTAGGTAAAATAAAATGTAATTTGGTGTAATATGTGAAAACCGGACAATTTAAAGTTTGTTTTTATTAAGTTGTTGGAAAAAAAGATAAAAATTCAAACGGGAAGACTGTGTACGCATATGATTTTACGTATTTTTAAATAGATTAGACATGCTATGTCATCTGAAAACACCTATTAAAACACTAAGCTTGTGAAGGTGGAAGTATGACTGTGGTGAATAGCATACAGTGGCGTATTTTCGGCAAATTATTTCATCAGATTGTCAACGGGATCTAAAATAAAAGATAAAATAAGAGCAGTACGATCTAGTTTAACTCACTCGTTATAATATGAAACCATAAAAACGAACGAAACATGTATTACATTCATTATGGTATATTTGGGCCACTGTAGTTGTTATGACTGCACAACATATTGATAAAATATTGGAGTGACCAAACTTAACAAATCGATAGTTTGACGATGTGACCGAGGCCTAATTTCCTCATGAATGGTTATTAAAGACAGAAACACTGGCTAATTAACAGAGTATATATTTGGAAATGAAGTTATTGTTTGTAGGGAAAACACTGAGCTTAAGATATTATGAGATTCACATCAAATAAAAATTAATTGGTAGGAAAAGGAACATCAAAAAATCGGTGAATACTCAGTGTTGTACACCTTGGTAATTATTGCATTACAATACATAATTTAAAGTCTGATACAGTAATATGAACTTAATTGTTGCTTTTAGATAATTAAGTTTCAATATTTTTATTGATTCAGGTATTCGAAGCATGTTCTACGTAAGTCCGAGGATCATCTATCTACGTGAAAAATGTGAAAAAATACTATTACAGGGTGACGTTTAAGTGAATTCACAAGACATAGTACTAATCTATGAAATCAATGGTTATTGGTTTCAATTGTAAGAGAAAAAAATTTGAGTTTTATGGGTCATTGTAGCAAGAGAAAAATTGGTAGGCCTGGATTTATGGCGCATAACAAGAGGAAATTAAATTTCATATTATACTTAATTATTATACCCATTTTAATTATTCCTATTATTAAAATGTGACAATTAGATTTAAATCAGTGATCAAGTACGTGTTTGCGCATTCCGATACTAGCCATACCTTTGTGAGTATTAAGAAGCTGCTACAATCGACGAAAAGTGTTTTGAAAGTGTGATCCTAAGGTTAGAATTTCATTGATTTACCCAATAAGCAACCACATTCAAGAACAGTTGTGGTGTTTGGCTAGATTTCATTTTATTTGTTTGGACAGAAACAGGTTCTTCATTTTAAATACTTAGTTTATTCTCCATATATTTGAATTCTTTTCATATGATGTCAGCAGGTTTGAGAATTTTATCCAATCAAGTGTTCTGTGTAATCTAATCAACTATTATACATATATTACTTTAAATGGTTAAATGTAGTTCATGTAAAATAGATCATGACATAAATCAAACTTCGTCAGTCTACGAAAATAAAGAACAGATGAGATCTTATAATTGTTGCCAAACAACATATCTTTATGCATGTTCTATCTTTTCAAACCAAGATATATGAAACGGGATCGGAAATGAAAACCTGGTGATGGTTCATACACTTTATGGTACCATCAATCCGTTAGCACATATCTACTCAAGTTACCGCTTTCGAATTTCTTCCTGGAGCAATTCGCCCACAAATACAAAAAAAATACTAATAGTATAGAATGAACATTGAATTTCCTAAGTATACTCCACAGTTGCAATCAAAAGAAAAGTTTGTAGATATAAAAATTCGTGGCAAACTCACAGATTTTATTTAAGTTTATTAGCTTCACTGAAGTACACAACACTTAGTAGGTTTCCTACTGCTCTTTATATTGACATGTTCAACTTGGCTAGATTGAAATGTCGGACTTTGAAGTGGCTGTATATGTTGAGATACCACCTCGCACGTTACTAGACCAGGTGGATGTGGAGAACGATCGGTAACACTGAGACCATTGGACGTTTGGGATTTGAAAGGTGATTCAGCACATTTTGTGTGAACATTATTGGATATAATCCCGTCAACAGATGTCGCATTTCCGTTGGCGCGGCGCAACGCTGGATCATTGATAATTATCTGAAAAAAGAGGTAGGAGCAAATCTACGGAATTGAGACAACACTATAATTTCGTAAACTCGTATATATAGCCTCGTGACGTTTTGTAGAAGCTAGTGGTCTTACTGACCTGTTCAGACCGAAATGGGCAGAGCGAGTTTTTAGCTTGTAGCTTATTAGTGAATTAATTATAGATACTTAAGACCCCTAACACTAAACAATAAGGCCAAACTATTTTAGTTTGATCAGCTAGTTAGGACCACTAACCTTTATACACAAAATGTCATTTAGAAGTATGTCCAGAATTACATAGTAAATGAACTGCCCAAACCAATACTTTTTATAGCTCAGATTAATAGGGACATTCTATATACAGTACGGACACAAACGACTAATTCATTATGTATCATCTTAGTAACGCTCAGGTTGATTAGACAGTAGCTATTCTCAAAAATGGATCTCGCATAGTTTGGATGTTGCTTTTTCAAATAGCACACAATCGAAGCATTACCAAGTCACTGTATTTAAAATATGAGTTTAAACTAGTGACAGGAAGACTAAAAGTTACTCTTAACGAGATTAGAAAACAAGGATGTATTCCGTCGCGGTCTATTTCAATACATTAACTGAGTCACTATTTGTTGGGAAACAATATGTCGAGTGTTAAACTAATGTAGGTATTTTAAATTTAAACAATAATCCTTAAACAGAAACGGCTAAGTTAAATCCCGAGAAGATAAGAAACTTGTAACTGAAAAACAATGATTGTGGGCTGCCATTGAAGGCGACTGAAATTTCAGGAAAAGCAAAAAGGATCTTATGAAGACTTGAACAAAAGCAAATGACTATTTGTGGGAATTCTCTTAATTTCGAATATAAAATGTCACCATATAGTCGATCTGAACTGACGAACAGTTTGACTACTTAATAGAGTCGCCTAAAATGTAGGTTACTTCACCTAATTTTACGATTTAGTTAGCCTTCACAAGTTACGGACATATATAATTCTTGACCTTCAAGCGATATTGTAGGTCAGTCCATAGTAATTAGAGCTGTTTGCAAATCTGTGGCGTTTGGATTTTACTCGACAGACAACTGTACTACTACAAACAAAGAAGAGGGTAAATAAATTGTAAGAATTTCGAGTGAACTTAATCAGAAGCTTCACAGATTGAAATCATGAGTCAATTGAAGCTAGACCAACATGGAAAACCTGGAAGCACTGAACGGCCGTTCCGTCTCAGTACGGGACTCTTCAGCAGTGCGCACTCACGGCCCCGCACCCCGCGAGATTCAGACCCAGGACCTATCAGTTTCGCGCTAAGCGCTTAACCAACTAGACCACTGAGCCGGCACCCAATGGTGTTAGTGACTAACTTCAACCAATCCACAAAGTTGCGCTTCAATTAACTCATGATTTCAATCTGTGGAATTTCTAAGATCTCTACAAACTCATGCTGATATTAATCAGAAGCACCAAAGAGCCAGTATCTCATTTCAATTACGTACAGATTTTTCAGACTGATAATATCCTGTTTATTCCTCTAAATATCTGTTAGAACTTCAAGGATATGAACGTTTTGCAATATAAAATGGATTACTGCATATGAAAAGTACTTGGCCAGCTAGTTACACCTTTAGAAATAAAAAACTCATTATGCAGATCGTACAGATTAATCACTGTTAAATGCAGCAAAAACTCCACAAAATAATACCAAAAAACCCCTTGAGTGCTAAGTTTAGCAGAAATCTTGTCGTCAGTATTTACAATTACTACATTATTATTACAAAAACGTTTGTAAAACCATGGATAAATCTGGACGTCTCGAAGACCTTTAAACTCTAGCCAGGATATAAAAGCCTAAGTGTACTAGAAGCAGAGTTTACACATATTGAGTTTATTACATAACTATACATAAAACAACCACTCGAACGACTAGTTGCAGATTTCATAGGTGCATTTACACCTATGCAGAAACATAAATAGATAACTTACCGTATCCCTCGAAATTGTAGAGTTTTTCAAGATATCATCCACTTCCTTTGAAAGTTCACCACCAGGTCTAAACGGATTAATCTCCACCTCCGCAGTCATATTCAAAAATGAGACTGCTTGAAAGCGAACCAAGTGTGACCCTGAGAGTTCCCGCCAAAACGTATAGTTGTAGCACAGTCAAATACTGAAGATGGAAAGTGTTATAACCGCGATTAAGTTGTGACATTATCAACAGAAACCACCAGTATGAAACAATTTATATAACTGAATGCAAAATGAGACAATATTCGAGACCATGATACTTTTCATTTCAAATAGAGGTGATAATTTCCATCCAAGTAATGTTGGATCTAAGTCCTCTCCATTGAAAAACCAAGAAAATTGTCCTCTATGCTCCAAACGCGCCATTTAGTTTCTTTAATGGATGTTGCGATTTTTATTTCATCAGCAACTTGATGCATTATCAAGGAAATTTGTTGCTCTTGTTTCATCTAGTCGTTAGAAATGACACTTAGAGCCACACTTATATAACCTAGAAAGTGCATGTCAAAATTAACGGTTAACTTTTGTCATTCCTACCTACAGTTTGGTGTTTGCAACAACCTGGGAATTTCTATAACCTGAGTGCATGGCTTACTGCACTTGGTTATTTAGCAACAAATTTTCGGCGTTACTAACATAACTTCCCGGATTTTCTGGATCACCTTGACCTGCTCCCGGATATTTATTTGGCTGTTGTTGTGACTTACTCCATTCTATGTTATTCATTATCATTCTGTGACAGTCTCCGTGAAATATTTGACACTTGAAATGAGCTGTTCGCCTGTAATTAACAAACACTCAGGCAGAGACGGCAATTATATTTTAATACAAAAGTGCAGAATCTTTTAGCTAAATATGAGGACTATACATTACATACTCCATCTGCCGAATTTCATCGTTTGTTCCTCAAATTCTACATGATTCTTCTATATCACGACTCTTTCTTATTCCCATTTCTGTATTCTTCAAGTCGACCTTCATAGCCTTCTGTTGTAATGAACTCCTCTTCTGGTTGTTGCTACTCACTACTTATATCTCTCGACGCAAACAGCGTACACCATTCTATGACTTGACCTCTTGATGATTCTACACTTTGCAGGAGATTACGTTTAGCGATCTTTCCTCATAATTCTAGGCGTAACGAGTAGAAAGTGAGGTAAACTTGTAACCTCGTCTCGTCCGTACACACAGTGTTGAACGTAACGCGGAACGGCTTTTATCTGCATTGGTTTTAGGACTTATACATCCAGTGCCGTCAACGATCAAGACTTAATGCTAACTTAGGAATAAAGATGGTTATATGGCAGCTCACGTGCAATCGCATTTGTACACAATTAATTCGGTTAAGCCCTTTTATTAACTTATTTAACGAATAGAGTCATTCGTAAAATAACAACGTATCTTTAACATTGCACCTTTATTGTTTAACTTGTGTGAATATATATGCTTGAGCATTAATTACTGCCTAAACATATATTCATTCTGCTACCCTCAGAGTTATTCGCTTAATTGATTCGATGAATCATTTATATCCCTAGGTACATATATGTACATATTAACTCTGTTCATTGACTCGTTCATTCGACTCGCTCTCTCGCCCACCCTCTTGCTTGCTTTTCGGCACTACTCTTTCGTGCCTGCTTAGCCTACCTGTTATTTTTGGTTATCTGTGCGTGGCGCAATAATATACATAATCAAAACTTCGTATTCGCCTTTATTAATACACCTTTGGAACATCATCCAATGACGGTTATCAGAACGACCTATATACGAAGTTTGAGGATTATATTGAATACCGACCACCACAGTGAACTACCACCGAATATCTTTAATTAAATTACCTACGTCCTTACCATTTGAAAGAGGAAGAATAATTTCACACTTCTTTGACGTTGATGCTGACCTCAAGAGTGTTAGGATGTGGAGAAAAATACACCAATAATTAACATGTTAAGTCTAACGGTGGCCTTGGACTTTAAATTATTATTATTATTATTATTATTATTATTCACAAACATCTTATGGGTACATAAGTATTGTAAAGAAACCATTTCGGGTTTCTTCAAAAAATGCAATAATACACAATTTTCAATAATGTCAGCATTATACTTGCCATTTAAAAAAAATTAGAATAATAATAGTAGAATATTAATAATAATAGATCGGGTCTGTGCAATTGAGAAGAATATTGAATTGAGTTTAAAGAAGGAAATGGAGAAAATAAGGGAATAGAAATAAAGGAGACGTGAAATACGCAAACAGTCTACAAGGCGTGTTTATGAACACAGAACAAGAATAAACGACTATCTATGCATCGTTAAATTAGTAACAAAAATAATTTTTAAAAAAACAACTTATAATTGCAGTAAGATATGACGCTAGAATAAATGTTTGTGCAGTTATAGTTTAGAGTGATGCGATGAAAGTCTCAATTGAGTGAAAAGGATAATAAAATATCAATATGTATGAGTAGTCATATATGCATAGTGAAGATAAAACGGGTCTGAGAATTTAATTTAAGTGTAACACAAGTTATTGTTTTAATTACAAACTTCGTAATCTTAAGAATATTATTTATATAGAAGGGAAAAAGAGAGACAAGAGAAGTGGATACCTAGTGAGAAGGTTCATCCATGATAAGAATAATAATTGTGTAATGAATATCAACCTCAGAAGGAAACCAACGATTTAGAAAAATAAAATAAAAATCCTCTAAAGCACTCGGATAAATACATTTAGATTTATGTAATAGTATACAGAGTGAAACCGGATATTAGTATAAATATTTGTGCAATAATAATTAAGATTGATGCTATGAAAGTCAAAATTGATTTCAAAGGACAATCTGGAGTTAAATATGTTTAGAAGGATAAGAAGATACAAAAAGAATATCTAATGTGTCGGGGAACTAATAATGATATTAATAACGGTAATAATGATAAACATGAACATAAGCAGACTTCATATATTAAGATAAAGAGAAATAAAACAAGATAGAAATGAAAAGATTTAAAGGTTTTATTTTGCTTTTCAAGCAATTAAATGGATGACGGACCTTGTTTGTATAAATCATTATTGAATACATTGATATTCAATAGGTGACATAATCCACTTTCGGAAAGAAAATCATCAAGGAGACTTTTGAACCGGGTTGTAGTTTCACTGCAACGGAGGTTCACTGGCAGTCTGTTCCACATGGTTGAGTAGCGAATAAGGAAAAAATTCTGACGTCAGTTTGTGTGGGCTTTTGGAATCGCTAGAATATTCTCCTTATTGCGTAGATTGTGGGATGATATCATAAGGCATGAAGGGGTGGATACCGAAGAGTAGGAAATACCGTTAATAAGCCGGTAGATAAAGACAAAATTTAATTTGATACGTCTGATCCAAAGAGGTTCTAAGTTGAGTTGTTGACATCTTTGGTAATAGTCTTTGTTATCGGAATACCCCAGAACAGCTTTGGTGAACTTTCTTTGAACACCTTCAATTCTAATCAGGTCATTGTGTCTGCAAATACTGTAAACTAAAATACCATATTCAAGAATGGGTAAGATACATTTTCTGTATAATAACAATCTCGATTCGATGTTATTAAAGTTTAGCATTATCAATCCGATCAGCTTTCTAGCTTTGGATACTTGAGATACAATGTGCTCAGAAAAGTTCAGACTGTTGCTATATCTTAAACCCAGGTCACGAACAGTGTTGAGAGGTTTGAGTGTATGTGTGTGTACAGTCAGATTTAAGTTGAGGCAGCGACCAATGTGAATAAATCCACTTTTGTCAGCATCAAGTGGCAAATTCCACGAAACAGACCACTCGTACAACTTGTTTATTTCCTCTTGGATTACCGCTGAAATATAGCTTTCTTTCGTGGGAGAAGAAAATGAATAAACTACTTTCAGGTCATCAGCAAAAAGGAAAGGCTTACCATACTGAAAGAGGGAACACACATCATTGATAAAAAGGAGAAAGAGTAATGGACCAACCACACTTCCTTGTATAACCCCACTGGTTACATTCACAGGTTTAGAGTAGCAAGATCCAAAGCGAACGATTTGGGTACGTTCTTCTAAAAAAGATTTGAGCCAAGATAAAAGGGGATTCTGTATGCCAAATGAAGAGAGTTTTAAAAGAAGAAGTTTGTGTGAGACACTGTCGAAAGCCTTACTAAAATCGAAGTAAAGAACTACTTCCAACGTCAACGGTATGTCCGAAAGGTTTCCCCTAGATTATTTGAGCATAGCATTTCTGTACAATTGCTTCCATGTTGTGCCCTAAAAGTTTTTTTAATAGAATAGTTAAGATTTTGGAAAAGCTGTTTTCATGTAATTTCACTCAAACATTTGTACAAAAGCGATACTCCAGCTCACAATATTCGATGAAACTACAAAATGTGGAAAATTTACAATGGTGGACATCGTAAGAATACTGTTCGGTTTTTTGTAATCTTACTTTACGCTTTTTCAAATAAGTTTTAGAAAGTTCAGTCACTCTTATTAGAAATTCCTGGAGTTCTGGTTGTCAAATATTGTACTCTACGATGTCCACATTGTTTACCCAACAAACTGTTCTCCCAGCATATCACATAAATTTACTTAAAACATATGATTATTTATTGTCATTCTAGTTTCAAGATATGTAAATAGTTTTATTCCTGTCCTCTGCTCTGTCTCATTATACCTTTTTGTTGCCGTGACTCAATAGGATCAGATAAACCTCAACACTGTGGTTCGATATATGTTCGTCAGAATTGATTCATTCTCTGGATACAGTCTCAGTGACCTCTAACAACCGGATGACATCACTGTGACAAAAACTGCTGAGCTTTCAGACCGTTAAGAATAAACGTTATCAAAAATAGAGAACTGCTTCAGGTATTAAGGCACGAAATTGTCACATTAGTATCGGATATGTAATCAGCCTAATAAAACTCATTGGAAAACACATGCCAGACCTCCAAAGAAATTTTGAATGATTCATATGGTTCTGGCCCGAATAGAAGCTTTCTCTAAATGGGCCTCAGTATCTAGTTGCAGTGGATCACTAATACATCCA